TTTAAGAGTATGCTAAACATAATTTTATTTTTACATTAATTAGAATAGTGTATCTGTAGACTAGATTTCAATAATCAGAAAAGGTAAGTGAAAAAAATGAATGATAAAAAATAGATAAAAGGAAAGAATTTTTTAAATGTAAGAACTAGCCAAAAGCTAAACTTTTGCATAACTATCATTTTGACAGAAACTTCCTTTAAATGTGTTTCCTTTCCAGTTAGCATATGTGAAAAGTGACCTCTTACCATTTACACACCTACCCAGAAGTCATGTGATAGAGTTTTACATCAAGCTGTCAATTATGATAACAGACACAGTAAGAATGGCCAAAGTGTTGATAGCCTGCTTCCTGACTTTAGTGAAAAGTTTGCTGATAGTCCACTTGTGTCTTTTCAATTGCTGGCCTTTAATTAATCACGACCTTCCCAGTGCTTTTAATGTGCAGAGCCTTGGCTCTGTCATTTACCAGGACAAACATAAATAGGGAATTTCAACTTATATCTTAGTTTAAAAAAAGAAATCCTACAGAGGTAATTTCTTTAAAAGGCTATTTTGTATAACAAAAAAAGTGTATTGAGAAGTACTTTCAGATTCTAGTTTTAGATTATGTCAAGAAAATATTTCCATATAAGCTAGCCCAATAATTGAACTTGAAATAACAGCACTGCATAGTCATGCAAGAGATGTAACATGCTGAAGCTCAAGCACCAATGACATCCATGCAACTGTGAGAAGTAAGCAAGGACCTGAAGGGCTCAGGCCACCCATTCATCAGCACTAGTCATAGGTAGCATATATAGTCAGATCATCATTTGAGATTTTGAAAATAAGTCATATTTCTTACAAGCTAGAGCTTACTTAATTTTATCTCACTCTGGGGAGGCAAAAGTGAACTGCCACATATTCCACCCAAAATCTCAAATCTGTATCAAAAGTTAATATACACTTCAATGGCTGGTTTGAATGTGATCTTTTATTTCTAAACAAGAAGTTCCTTGGCCATAAACTTTTATCTCCAACTTGTCATAAGGTTTTTAAAAAATATGTTGTGTTTATGTGAAATAGTAAAGATTTATGCTTTTAATATGACCTTATACTCAATTGTAATGGTGACAATCAAACTAACTAGATTCTCTTAAATTATCACACTTTTTATGATAGCAAATAAAGAGAGCTTATCTTAGCAAATTTGTTATGAGGGTGACCAGGTAAGGAACTGGTGGTAATTTAAATAAGTTGACTCATTTTACCCATTTATTCTAAAATTTCTAGACTGGAGTATAAGTGATTTCTGTACTTTCTAAGCAACATTCAACATTCTGCTAGATAGTGTCCATAAAATCTAGGAAATGTAGTTCTTTCACTGTCTATAATAAGGAATGTGCATAGTGTGTTTATGAAGTGGGAAGCAGGAAAGGAAACACTGCATTTTACGAAACTTGTACAAAGGTAAATATGAGAAGATGTCTTCCGCACTTCTGAAAATGTTCCAAACCATAAGAGATTTCTTAGTAGAGACTAAAGAATTCAGTTTGCCAAAGCAGGACCCAAGTTCTTCAAGCCACCACACCATCTTCCAACAGAAAAGTTAGAAAAGAATGAAGCTCCATTTGAAGTTGATTTTCAGATTTCTCCCATGCCAACAATGAATGCATTTACTAAGCCAATAATCCCTGAACAGACATGTTCCAGACCTCAAACAATACTCAGGATAGTGTTAAATGATAAAGAAAAACTCTAAAGTCAAGTCCTGATCAGCTGGTATGAGCTGATTATTATGACTAATTAGGGAGAGCTATTTTTAATGGCAAGTTATCAACTGGTTTACATGAATCTTTTCTGAAATATTCCTCATAATTATGTGAATTTATTTTTCAAATCCAAATGAGATATCATACTTGTTATGATAGATAAAATTTCAGTGTCAGAAAAAAACTAGCTATTTCTAGCCAGCATTAATCAATAATAACCATTATAAAAAGGAGCACACAAATGTTTAATTACTAGTAACAACTCTGTGTATCAGGTTAATAAGCATACATACACATACTTTTACTATTCAGATTGGCCAATACAAATACTGTATTACTCTTATAGGTAGATTATATGATGGTATTGTCCATCTCAGTTTAAGAATGCCAGAAAACTGATGTATCAAAAATGACTATACTGAAAGCTCTAGTGTAGTGTCAGTTTGTAGAAAGATTATAAGATAGCTAAAATTATTCAATAATTTAAAATTTATTGGTAACTCTTAATTTATGTAAGCTATATTAAAGTTCTTTTGCAAAGAAAAAATAGCACTCAACAATTCACATCAATACTTTTCATAACCTAAATGGATAATCTTTATAAAGCAACCACCATGAACTGAAGAATGTACCTGGTGACGATATTTATTCTTAAGGGGTCATGTATATTAAAGGTTATGGGCAATGTTTAATAGAGCTCTCTCAAACGAAAACCATTGCCTTTCTAATTTTGAATTCCTCCTAGCTAATATAAAATGATTGATTACTTTTATTTCATGTACCCCTTGATTTTCCTTTTCATTCATCATTGAGTGCTTTAAACCAAATGCATTTAGAGCCTGACGTTAGAAGAGTGGTCTCTTTTAAATCTTGGTAAAGTAATGAAAGGACACAGTAAATCAATCTCATTTCTGCTGTAGGAAAGAATAACCTTTATTCTACTGAAACCATTTAAACTATTTCTGTCCCTCCATTCTTAGTAAACATAAAACTTCATCTCTACTAGTCTTAAAATTTGAAATGTTAAAAATAATAGGCCTTTAACTGGAGTCTTAGTTTGGCAATATACATATGTAATATGATATGCATTTACATTTATTTTATGCAAGCCTCAAAATTACAGTTCACTATGAATTTGGAATACTGGGCGTCTTCAAATTAATAGTCACACTAACTCTTTCATTACACAGAGGACAAATGATCTACCTGCATGGTATTTAAAATTTTTAACTGTGAAGCATATATAGTTCTTCTCTTCCAAAGATCAATGTACATCAAGTATTCCATAGGTATAAACTACATTTGGGCTGAAGAAAATATGTCCATATTTTAAGTGGTTTTTTCTTAACACTGTCCACCTAAATAACAAGAGACAGTCTTTTATTTAAATTGTCTGTGGTTCTAGAAATCATATATGATTTTTTCTGGTAATATGTGCCCAGATCTCTATCTATATTAAGACTCTTATTTTCATGATGCTTACTAAGTTTTCTTGATTTATCTTTCTACCTATGAAAAGAGAATAACTTTTATATTAATGTGATTTTATATCATTTTGTGATTATAATTAAATGAGACTCCAACACTAGTCATAAGAGATAAGAAAATTAAAGCTGCCATGAGTTAGGACAGAGGGAGAGGAAGACTGCTTCTGAGTATAGGAAATTGGTGATAATATTCTAAATGTGTTTAGGATTGAAGGTTTAAATAATAGAGGCATGTTTTGTGAATTAAAAATTAACTGGAAATTAGAGAATAAAGAATAATGTGAATCCCATGACAAAAATATTTCTGCAAAAAATGTGTAATTATTTTTAAATGAACAAATTTCTAAATCTATAAATCCTGCATATGTTTTAAAAAACACAATGAACACATACATTTGTTAAATTGAACCATATTATAGTAATTATAACACATTTCATATTACAGCAATTTTAGAGGTGAAAAAGTAGCATTCCAGAGAATTATGTTGAAAAGTCAATGGCTGGTAAAAACCACTAATTATTATTTGGTACTTTCATAACTGTATACAGATGTTTTCAGTTAGTTCTCACTCTTTTGTTTTGTTTTCCTTTTTTTAAAGCCTGGCAAAACGTCAAGTGTCATGAATAAGCCATCATCTTTATGATTTTCTCTGAATTCTGCATGTGGTGACCTTCAATATATGCAGTGTGCCACCTCAGTCTGCGAATGGGAAAGATGCAAGAACTCCACATGGAGTACAGTTAAGAGGCCACACTAAATGTAAGTGAGGTGGAAAGGTCTAGAGCAAAATAGGCGGGCATAAGTACTTGCATAGGTTTGCTTACATATGCGACAACTCAAAAATTCAGAGCAAGCTGGTTAGCATAAGATCATTCTTACCTCATATGGCCTACTTTTCCCTATATATATATTGCATATTGTTAATTTAAGACTGCTCGCTCATCAAAATTTGACAGCAACAAACATATGCATCATAAAATATATTTAAATTCTGAAGTGTTTAGAATTATTCCTGTTATCCTGTAACTAGGATCGTGGGATTTCTATATTGTTATGGTGCATGCTTTTGACTGTGGCTAATTTGTTTATAAGCCACTATTAATCCTGGCTGTATATTTTCACAGTTTGGGTAAACACTTCATTTGCATTAAATTTACAGCATTAATGAGATGTGAAATTTAAAATGCTACTTGAAACATAAATGATGTAAGAAAGCAGAACCAAAAAAGTGTTTTATCACGTCTGAAATCACTAAAACAATTTAAACCTATTAAACTAGGAATGAAGTGTCGCCTGAGATTTTAGCCTCATAACTCATCTTCTTGGACTAAAACACAAAAATGAGGAGGAAAACATCTGGAAAATATGGGATTACTTAAGAAGCACAAGTTATGTACTGCTTCTACTCTAGTTGGCTTTTAAATTGGTTCTTAATGTTTGCCTTTGAAAGCCAGAGGCCAGTAAGTTCTCAATAGCCAGTAAGACTAAGAAAAACACTCTGGTTGAAACACAGTAGTGTTCATGGATATTATCAATATATGCTATGGAGATGGAAGAAGTTGTGAGCCAATTTGAGAAACTCTGTTGAGAGAGGTGAGAAACAAAGGATAAATGAGAAAAAATTTTGGAAAATGAGGTGATCAATTTCAGTCTCAGAAGCCCCGTGAGCCCCATCCTGAGTCCAGATCTGAGAGGCAACATGGAGAAAAGCGCCGAAGCAAAGCGTGGCCACCCCATTACACCTGTGTGAAACGTGCCCACCTGTTGCTGATGTAGGAAGGATGGGTCTCTTGGGCTTAGTCCCACATATCGATTGGCTTGAGATGTGCCTGAGGCTGTGTAAGCTGATTAAGGAAGAACAAAAACAAAGATAAAAATTGTGAACTATCAGAATGAACACCCTGTCCATGTATAAGAATCCCAGAAAAGTGGGATTTGCAACCAAAAAGAGTGTCTGCATTTCTTTTTTGACTGAGTGAATACCAAGTGATAGAAAGAAATGGTAATTGATTTCAAACCTGCTAGTTTATTCCCCCTAAAAAAAAATCTATCCAACTAAAACATCCTATCTTTGGTGTGGGTTTCTCACTTATGAGCTCCAATACTGTCATGCAGGGGTGTCAAGGATTGGCTACATAGAAGGGTCCTTTTTCCTAGATGTAGCTTTTTCCTAGATATTACTGGTTTAATAATGGAAGAATAAATGATGGCCTATGATTCTAAATGTAAGAGCAGACTGCAAGATTGTCAGGAAAAAGTGATCACTTTTAATGAGAGGCTGCAAGTGGTCGTGACTGATGAATATGAGTCTGAGATGAAAATGTCTTACTTAAAACTATTATTAGAAAGAAAAACCCAGTATTACTATTCTGAAGGAGGAGCCCATGTATTGTAGCAAATAGAATGAATTAGATCAGTATTTTATTTAATGTGAAAATGCCCTCAAGTTTAACAGAAACATTTTTAAAATAATTCATAAATGTAAAAAAAAAATCAGTTCTTATGATTGGCCAGGAAGGGAGTCAGGAAGGGAGTCAGTGGCACCTTTTAAATATTTGGTCATTGGTAATAAGTACATAGGGTGACTACTCCTTGCAAAGTTGCGTTCTCCTTTCCAAGTACTTTTTGTACAAGTACGTTTTGGTGCAGAGTGGTAAATTTTCCACAGAAAAGTTCTTCCTATTCCTAAAGAATTTTGCTTTTTTTTTTTTTTTTTACAAGAAAAGTACTAACGTATCTTCCTAGCACTAACCCCACTGTCCATGGCAGTTACACTTGTAAGTCTGAAGAAAGCTATTCGCTTGGTTTAAAACCTCAGCAAATTAAGTCTAAGGAAGTAGACATGAATTTTCAATAGGATGGTTTTTAAAAAATCAATATATTAATTCTGCCATGTTAATTTAACAGTCTGCAAAATGTGATTCCATAGCCTTTTTTAGGTCAACTTTTCAAAACCATCAAAGATGCTCACAATTCATCTTTTAGTTACTCCTGGATAAAGGGCCCATGCAACCAGGGGCCTCAACTCTCCAACTCCAAGCCTTTGGAATGCAACACAGGCTGGAGAGTCAGAAAAGAGCTTCAACCTTACACAGCAACACTAGATCTATGCTGTTCTTTCTTTTCAATCATGAAGAAGAGGCTGCCTTAGCCTCTGTATTTTCTTTAACTTGACTGGCTTATCAACTCAGTGACCAGTTTCTCATTATCACTGGTGCCTGGGGAGCTGGAGCTACAAGTTTGTTGATAGGAAAGAAAAATGACTCACTGTATTTCTCTTATGTAGGAGTGGAAAATGGAATGATGCAGTCATCTTTATAGAATGAAGATATGCCTTTTGAATATTTTGTGATTTTACTAGTCAAATCAGATCCCTTTTTAAACAACCTGTAGGTGAGCACAGAAGCAATTCTTTAACAAACAGGCTGAAGGTACTCCCATAAGTGGGCTGTGATTACTTAGGTCTGAGTCTTCCCCAAATCTTACATATTAGTATCAACATAAATGAGGCACCAGAAGTTTCTGGAACTTGGTTTTGAACATTTATCCTACGATAGTCTGTCAATTACTTTTTCAAAAAAAATCTTGTTTTATATGTGCTTTTATTTAAACTGTTAACTGCACAAATATGCCATGATACACTCTTATAAAGTTTGTATAGTTTTTTAGTGACCATAAAGTATATAGCAAATTTTTAAAACATAGAAAATTTTGGTTTTTCCTGATCAAATCTCATCCATCTGCCCATTTAATGAAGTATTCACTGAGGGAGGACCCTCTGCCAATAAGTCAATTACTTAGCATTAATGATTATTGATGGGCATTAAAAACCTATCTGCATTTACTAGCTTTTAGGGCTCAAGAATTTTGAGAAAAAAAATGCTGAATATTCACTTAAAGCACTGTCTATTTTTCTTGTATTCCTTCTTAGTTTTTCAGAAGTCATCAAAAAAGAGTGTCTTTCCAACAGCCAACCAAGAGTAGACTAGTGGCGCCTCTATCTAATTTCACATGGGAGTTTCCAGAGCATAAGGAGTTCCTTGCTCTAGGAAAGAAAAATTGTCTGACTCCAAGACATATGCATAGTTGTGGAGCACATGCTAATTCCTCTAAACTGGAACTTAACCCATTCCACTCACCAATCTGTGCACACCAGCTCCAGTTCTAAGAAGCTGGTAGTTTGGGTGAAGCCAATTGGAAATCTATTTTTATATACTTGTGAGTATTCCATATAAAGAAGCAAAGGAGTCATTTGGCTTATTGATATGTGCTATTTAAGCGCAGTAACTAAATCTATGACATTTAAAATGTTATGGCCATGCTAATAAGCATAGTATCTGATGTACCATGATAGGCAAAATAATTAAAAAGTTTAAAGAAAAAGCTGAAGAACCTGAGAGTACAAGTAGCTTGCATGTGCCTAACACTCAGCTTTGAAATGTTCTCGCCTGTAACCAATATTGTGTGACTGTTTCTAACAATGACATAACCTACAGTCAGGTAAACATGCAATTATTTTACTGATTCAGTCTGTCTGGTGGAGGGGCTTGACTGCTATAGGATGCTCCAATAAGTAACAATTATGTAATCTCTCTTTTGGTGATACAATACCCTGCACATTGTGTTATGTTATTCAGTGCAATTTCCATGTATAACTTTGAACGAGCAGGCATGACTTATTATTTTTGTTATAGTTGTTTACTCAAACAAATATGCTTCTCTCTTTTCAAATCTGATATACTGAAGGAGATTTGATAAGAGACAGCATGTGAAAGCCAGACCACATACATGCCTGCTAGCTCCACTTAAATGAGAAATCTCCATCTGGTCAGGTAGCTGGAAAAGTGTTTTCCACCTTGGATCAGATATCCAAAGGTGCCTTTGATGGACATTTCTCATTTCCTACAGAAATACTTACTGGTTGCTGTAGGTGAAGCTGCCTCACCTTCAGTGGATGTAGTGATGGGTTTAGAATCTGTCATGGTCAGGGTCACAGGTCGCACTGCACTGGGATGGGGAGAGGGTGCCAAGACAGGAGTGAAATGGCCAGGCACTTTCCCTACTACTTGACCACTGCTGTTAGGCTACAAAACAAAAACAGAATGCCGGGTGAAACAATCCAAAAGGCAGTCATCTTTCCAACAACTCCAATCAGCCATGTAGCCACCTGGATCCTGCATGATGTGTAACCACCACGCAGGCCCTCTCAAATCTGGAGGCCAATCAATGGTTAGTAGTAATAAGAAGCGGCAGTATTTTTAAAAAGTTTTTCATCTTCAAAGAACTTGGTATGGGTGATGCTGTCTTTACAATACCCCTGAGAGCAAGTAGACTTGATCCTTTCATTTAGTAGGCCAGGAAACTCACATGGAGACTCCAAAGCTTAGCTCACACTAAAATGCAATTTTTTTCCTCAGCTATCTACAGTTAGTACCCAGAGACTCCGTATCTAGTGCTCTTCAATTTCTATACTGAGTCAGTTTGTTTTTTAAAACAAAATTTTCCTCCTAAGAAATGGTATCACTGATACAAGAGACACAAGATTGTCTAGAAAAGGAAAACACATCCAACTTTATAGTCTCGCTGTTTCCATTCTTCTGCATACAAAAGTCTGGCTCTCGCTCTCTCTCAGTCACAAACACACACACACACACACACACACACACACACAGGCAATTTAGACTCTAGGAGCTCCACTCAACTTTTAATGATTTACTAATAAAAGCAGATAGAATTAGATTTAAAGCATCTAAAATTTCAGATGCACACAATGAAATAAACTGTTAAATTATGTCTGACTTTATACCTACAAATAAAAGATTCCCAAAGAAAATTAAAATGTACTGAAGTGAGTCAAGAGAACAAGTGCACACTGCTATTTGAGTTACTTTTTCCATTGCTGTACATGAAGAGTTACATAAAACATTTACTATCAACATTCGTGAGAATTAACTGAGAACACTCCTTGGACAAGAACAGAAAAGATACTATTATCTGAGTTTTAGTCCCATAGTGGAAAAGTAGTTCTTGTGGTAGTTGACAAAATTTTAAGGGTACACACTGTTTGAAGAAATCTTGGAATATATTATTCTAGACAAAGAATGCTATTTTTGATGACACTTGTGTAATTCTCCACTGCATGATGTTCACACCACTCTCTAGGAAGTTATTCTCCACACACATATAGTCCTTATAGTCTCAACCATTACAAGCAAAAAAAGCAATGAAGCAGAATATTTATCTAAATACCTACACATAAATGAAAAGCAGATATTTCTTTATATAAGATAAGTAAATAATAGCACTTCAATACTGTGACTTAGAAACATAACCAAGTCTTTGATTGGGTTTCTCAGAGGCTACTTTTTTATTCCATAAAGAAAATGTACTACTTGAAGAGCCTGACTATTGATCATGAGTAATTCTAAGTATTTAACTTTATGGCAGGAAAACTGACCAGATTTTTCCTCTAGGAAACCTATGGCAGAGTTGTATCTTTAAACTAATTTTACTCAAAATATTCCATCGAATAGCATGGCTGTCTCACTATAAGTGGTGAAGCAGTAATGCAATTCATCTCCACATTGCTGTGGAGAGGAAAAGGCATCTCACTTGCTTAACAATCCAAATCAGCACAGTGCTGGAGAAGGCTGGGAAGGAGCAGCTGACTGTAGGTGAATGGCCACTGAGTTCTCATTTTTCTCCCATTTCTACTGCTAAGGAGGTGAATATCAAGAGTTCAATTTTGAAATGCAAATTAATTGGTTTTGAGTTGGCGTTAAACATCAAAGCAGATATAATGTTCCTAAAAAAGTATTTCTGCTTTACTATAAAGACTCATTTTCCTTTCAAAGGGAAATATAGTTTGTTTCTATAGGAGATCATCAACTTTTGGTTATTTGAACCTTGCAAAGGACTGCTTTATATATCTTATTGAAGGAAGAAGAGAGCTCTCAGTTTATCACTAGTGATAACATTGACAAAAGTGTTTCTGTATATAGATGAGCAAAATGGTCTGGTAGTACCTACCTGGAGCAGGAGCAAAGTGACAATAATTTCAAGGACATGCTGCTGCCAAATATATTCCCCTGCCTACCCAGTCGAAAAACTTTGTCTACTGCAATTGAATGAGCAGGAACTGACAGACATTTTACCCATTTAGAAGTAATAACAGGAACAAAGAAAGAATTCTTAAGCCAATACAGACTTTTCTGAAACTCAGGGTGAGAAGAATGGGTTGGTTTTTTTCCACTTCAGTTTTCTCTTCAGTTTGAACAGGTGAACCTAAGCTATGAAGCTTCTGTCTTTTCAAGCTTCTATGAGATGAACTCTCATACTGGAGATATGAAAAAGAGTGTCTTATCTGAAGATGAAGCCGAGCTGCATTGGAAAAGGATTATCCTATTTACTACATTGCTCCTATTATACAAAATCCTCAGAGGCTTTTTTTTGGCTTTTGGCTTTTAACTGATATGACAGTAAGATGCTTCATTTAGAAGCTTGATCTTTACCTTGAGAACTTAAAAAAAAAAAACTGAGAACAATATAGGCAGATTATAACCTAATATGCTCTCTTAACTTATAAAGAAATAGAAATATACGTAAAACAAGCACTGAATAATTAAAGAAATGCATAACACTAAGGGTCTGATTTTAATTTGCATAATTTTTCCCCTAACAGTGCTTAATTAAGACATCAGTTTTAAAAAAAATCCAATGGAACTCTTAAGATTTTCCACACTGAATTAACGTTAAGGACTTTTAATGGATGTCTTAATTAGACTTTGCTATTCATGGAAATTCTACACAAATTAAAATCAGACCTTGGGTGCACTGTTCCCAGCTGAGTCTAGCAAAATGCTCTATGGAACTGAGACTTTTGAATACATGCTCTGACAGCAAGTCTCATGTCTAAACTGGTATACTAAGATCCCACTCTCTTACTCAGTTGTCAATGGTATTACAGTCATTACACCATTTGAACATTTTCTTCTAAAATACAAATAATAAGTTTAACTTCAAAATATAATACTTGGTTTAGTATATTAGTCAGTAGAGCTAAAAGCAAAGGTGACTTTCTATGTAACCCAAAGGGTTATGGATATGTTATTATTGAAAATAAAACATTCAGAAAGAACCATTTTGCTTAATTTTAACAAATGAAGACAAAAAAATTTGTTTATGACACTTCTTTGTTAATTATGATTGATATATTACTGACTCTAATTTCAGTAACTTAACAGCAGTAATGATAGAATGTTATGAAGATCTCCCAAAAAATTAAAGATCTAATAAGAAGTGAACAGAAGTTTTGGAGTTAAAGCAGGAAAGTCAAGAAGCTCAAAATTATATTGCAGATTGTGAATATAATTATTGATAGATCCATTTTTGGCACAAAGACTGTCTACCTAATTGTAGAAAATCCTCTTACATCAAATCCCTAAGAAGTGACCTCTCCCCTAGAAGACATCACATGTCTAAGGAAAGAAATGCACATGAGTCACTACACTAATATAATGCATCCCTAAACCCACAACTGTGTGTTTACAAAAAAAAAAAAAAAGAAGCTTCTAGTAACACCACTCATTATTAAATGTAAGTCATGTCCCTGCAAAGAATATTCAAGGAGTCATCAAACACTGGACATGTTTACATTACCAAAGCTGATTTTAATACCTAATAACTGGTCTATAAATACCACCATACGTTCTTTTGAATGTGTTTATTTTCGCACATACCTTGCTCCTGCCTGAAATAAGCACTCTGTCTCTGTATCAAACCAAGTATTTCAGAGGTGTGAACTCCAGCTCAGAGCTTTCTGGCAATGAACATTCTGCATAAACTTTCCCCTCAGTCAATGAAAATCCAAAGACATTAAACCAAAAACATCTTCACAAATGTACCCCTTTGGGGCAACACATTTCCTACCTGTCAGTCAGCCACCTTCACGTAAAAACTTATTGAGTCACCAAGAAACTTCCTGAAGATGGATTGCAAGGCTTGATGTTCTGCCAGACATACTGTCTGACTAACCTTCATGTCTTACAGTTAGACCTGTCCCATCTCCCTCAGGTTCTAATCTTATTTTTTCTTTTATTTTTACCTGGCTGGTTTGCGGACTGGATGGGTCATAAGAAGGTACATAGTTCTTCAGAGTATCCTGAGGATTCAGGTGGGGAGGATATCTGATTGTTGGATGAGAAAAGTAGCTTGATGGAGCTGGAGGAAGGATAGCTTGTGTTGGAAATGGCAACGGTGAGGGAGGAGGCGGAGTTCGAGTTGAGATGACTGCAGAAGACAGAAAAGTTAAGAATGACTTGTCAGCTCATTGTCTTATTGTTTCATTCCAATTCTAAAGAATGTTGTGAAACTGTAACACTGGTGGCAATTCACCTTTTCCCATGATTTAACCAAGCTTTCCTGAAATAAAGTATTCTCTCACTTTCATTTTCAATGCTAGTACCACTAAGGAAGCACAGACATAACCCTCCCCTAGGGAATTAATGATCACTTTCTAGATCCATGAGTGATTGAAAAAAGAAGTTTCTCTTTAACAGGTTATGCCAACACTGGATAAAACATTTCTTGGAGTAAAGTTATTTCCCATCAAAAACACATTCTTTGATTAAAGTCCTGTCTCCCTAAGTCCAGATCAAGTCACAGCCTTAATTAGAGGGCAGGAGACCACAAATTTTCTACTAAAATTTAAATAGAAGTGTAATCCAACTTCAACAAATCATCCCCCTATATACCCTAGCTGACAGCTGTTTAGAAGGGAAGTCAACAATTAATACACAAAAAAGTTCATGTCATGAATAATTACCTGGTCATTATATGAATATTTTTGAATATGAAAACATAGGGCCTGGGAACTCTTTTTCTTAATAAAGATGTTCCTTTCAAAATCAAAAGAGATCTATCTACAAATATTTTTCTTTCTATTCTAACTTTTAGTATATGTACATTCAAAGATAATATTAAGGTAAGACCAAGAATAAAACCCACCCAAATGCAAATTTAAATCATTTAGGTAGATACATAAAATTGCCCATGAATCATATATTTTATAATAATTTGACAGAGAGAACTCTATAACAACCATACAATGTGAAAAATGTTTATATTTAATGTAACTTCAACATTAGTATGATTATAATTATTTAGTTTTAAAAATATAATTAAGTTTTAAAGTTAGAGAAAATATAAGTATATTATAGAGATATATTTAACTCTATGACGTTGAAGGAAATAATTATAAGTATCAATTAAAAGAATCAACTAATATACATAGAAGTAAAGATTAAATGTCTATTTTTTCTTAATATTTTGATCCAAGGCATGGAAAATTACAAATGATAAGTGTTTAATGTTTATGAGACAACTTAATGAACAATATGAAAAATAAATTCTTTCCATGACCTATAAATGAAAATCATCTGGAATGACTTTTCCAACTTCATAATTATGTCCAAAAATAAAGAACTTTTTAAGGGATACTGCTCATTTCTCACAAAGAAAACTTTCAGGATATACAAGAAATTAAGAAATAATATCATAAAAGAATCATAAATTTAATTTTATGGTCACAACTATGCTCCCTGATTGTCTTGGGAACTGTTTCTTAGAATCCCCAGATGGTTATAATAGTGCTGATTCCTAGGCTTAACCATAGACCTAATAGATAAAGACCAGCAGGAAAGAGGTACCAGAATGTTCATTTTAAACTAGTATCTCAAGTAATCTTTCACACACAAAAATTTGAGCATCCCCCATCAAAGAAGGATTTCAGAGAACTGTATACTTCTTAAAACAAAATTCCTTATTGAAGTATTGTACACATATACCCATTTGAAATTATAATTTAAGTAAATACAGCTAAGTGCAATTGAGCATCTTTTTACTTAGTGTCTAAGTGATCTTATCCTCAGGTCAATTTTTGAACCATGGTCTTTGTTCACATCTGTACACAAACTATTGAAACGTACACACATAGCTCTATCTTGGGTCCTCTAGATTTGGGGGCCAATTTAGCCTGAGTAGCTCTGGAAGAGATCTCTTTTCAACTGAACTGGCACTACTCAAACCTCAGCTTGAATCTCTAGAGAGTCTGGTACTTTGTCTTTTTGAGCTGTAGTGGGCCTAACATAACTGGGTAGAATTTCATATTTCAAATTGAAAGTAAAAATGGCTACCTGACAGATCAGTAAGTCATCCTTGCTCTTTAAAAAAAAGGAAAAAAATATTTTTCTTCATTTTGAAAGAACATATAACTATGTACATATGTATTTCTTGCCTACATTATTGGAAGCACTTCCAAATTATCTTTATTCCTCCATTCTTGCTCATTGCAATACATCCTTTATAGTTTTATATGAACAATTTTCTTTAAAAGTACCATTACAATTGTGTAACTTCTCTGCTAAAAATCTTTCAATAGCTTCCTACTGCTTCCTGAGAAAAGTCCTTGTGGTTCTCATGTGTTTTTGGACCCAGTCCTGGACGACTTCTTTGGACTCATCTTTGGATATATTTTGCTGTAGTCACCTTTAATGCATCGGTAAGCTTTGTTGTCTCTGCTTGAAACACTCTTCCTTCTCACTTGTTTTCCCTTTTGTGGTGAACTCATCCTTCAAATTTACTTCAGAGGCATCTAAGCCTCCTCCAAGTACCTGTCCTATTCGGATTAGATGCCTGGCCAGTGATGTGGTACTGACTCTCCACTATGTCATAAGCTTTCTAAGGATAGAAACTGTCTTCCTTAACCAAGGTTCCTCATATATTAGATACTTCACAAATAAGAACCAAAGTATAAGGTTTATTCTAAGTATCTCATATTTCCTCATGTAAAAATATACTGTTTAGCTTTTTCTCAAACTTTAGAACTATGACCTTTTAATCAGATGTCATAAAGCACAGGTAATATATGACTTCTGAATTAAATTTGGCCAAGTATACAACATTACAAATCTATGTAATAGCTATTGATTTTTTTAACCTATTTTGTAGTACGAAAAATGTAAAAATTCTTACACCACATTTAATTTGTATATTCCTCTCTCAACTTCATAATTTTCTTAATGATAACAATAAAGTCCATTCATTTTTAAATATAGCAACAATTAATGTCAACATACACTTACAAATTAAACTTAAGGACTTTAATAGATGTTACATTCTATGGGAAAAGATTTTAAAAAGCAGATTCAGTTAGCCTGAAGGATGAGGATTACCTAACTAAAATTAAGAGCAATAAGAGGAATGTCACTAAAATGTATTTATATATATAAAACTTTGCAGTTTTATATATAAAACTTTTAGTTTACTCCTTTCTAGGACTTAAGAGTACTAAGTAGAAAGTATACAGTAATAATTACTAAGTATATTTCATTTTTAATGTTTGAAAGATTTACAAATAAATGATTTAAATTTAAATGTGAAATACTGGATACTTTTTCTTAATCAAATTAAGTTATTAGACATAATATCAAGCATACTGGCCCAAAGATTTGTGCATATAAAACAGCTGTCATAGGAAGCATATCTTTTTATTTCCTGGTTAATTTCATTCACAAAAAAGTAAATGATTTGCGTATAGAAAATATGATCTACAGAAATAGTGCCTATATATCTTAATGCCTTTGGAAAAACTTTAAAATCAGCAATATATTTAAAATCCCATCTTTCTCTATGCAGAATACACAGAATTAGGTCTAGTCTTGAAGTTGCAGTTAAGATAACAATGTACCCCATTTTTCTAAGTCCTTGTGTCCTTCCAATAAAGGCAATTTTGAAATAAAATGTAAATATTATTGTTGTTATATAACATTGAAAATCTTTTCTTATAAATTGATATGAGAAAATATTTCATCCGACTGTGACCCACATTCCCTGTGGATTGAGAAAATAAGCTCACCATAGCTATAATTATAAACTTTTGCTCCACCCTAAGGGTTTGGAACTATGGAAAAGGGGAAAGTCATTGCTCTACACTTCAAACTCCTCACCACTGTGTGCAACTCCAGGTATTCCGGGGTGGTGGTGTTGGGGGAAAGTGCTCAGTCTTGGTGAAGAGTCCTGTGGAGATGTGGAGCTGAATAATGGCTTTTCAGGCTTCTTCATAGTAGTTGGAGAAGACATATCTACAAAGGAGGAAGAAAAAGTTCAAGCTTCATGGCCTTCTTAAACTGCAAGGTTCATGTCAACATAGCAGATCTTCTTTTCTAACACTTTAGTATTTTTGTGTTTTGACTCTTATAAAATCTACACGAAAGTGAATGACCCAGATATGTTACAGCTTTAACAGATCCATCGGAAACATTCTCTGCTCAAGCTAACTGAAGTTTTCATTAAGATTAGCAACAACAGGTTTAAAAATTCTATATTCATTCTTGTATAGGAAGTACATCAACCATATTCACCTTCTTAACTTCCTTCTTTTACCCCCGCCCTTTGTATGTGCCTCCCCTTAGCGTGAATTGTTTTTCATAATATTGCTTATATTCATATTAGGTCTGTCATACATATATACATGGAAATGTCACAAGGAAATCAATGTATAGCTATCTTAAACCAAGATAGCAATGTATAGCTATCTTTTGTCTTTTGACAAAAACAGAGAACAGGAGAGCAGAACAGATCCTGCCTGGGAGGGGGATGATATGAGGAAAGGGTGGAGGAGGGTGAATATGGTATAAATACTGTGTACACATGTATGTAAATGTAAAAATGAGACCTGTTGAAACTATTCCAGGAATTGGGGAAGGAGGATAAAGGAGAATGATAGAGGGGGTGAATTCAACTAAGATATATTGTAAGAACTTTTATAAATGTCACAATGCATTCCCAGCATAATTAATAAAATATTTTTAAAAATATTATCAAAATCATTCCTATTAGTAAAGAAATCTTGAAGTTCTGAAAATCCAAGTGTCGGGTTTCCATTAGCCCCTCAGTTCACATGGAGGTCTTCTCTCCCATAGCATTTCATTCTTTGCTTTGTATGATTCAGGGGTTATCTTTTGACCTGCTGACTACACTGTGAAAACAAATAGGGGACAACCCGGTACAAATGTGAAAAACAACCTGGTAAATATATCATTGCTTTAACATCTTTTATAGAAAACTCATTCACTTGCTTAGAAAAAACCAAATTCTTCAATTTGCTCACCCTACAAATATTTACTACATTCTTTCATTTGCCAGATAAAGTGAGGATGTTAAGAAAAATAAAGTAATTCTTGTCTGAGGGATACTCCCTGTTAGTGAAGAGGAAAATTATAAGAAGGAAATGATGGTCAACAGTTGAGAGGGAATAAGAGAGTTGAGAACAGGAATGTTAGAAAATTCCTGCTACATTCTCAGCTTTTGTGTGCATGCAGCAACCACTCAGCCATCCCAGGTTCAAGAAGGCAGCCCCTCATAGTGCCATTTTCAACACAGAGATGAGAAGGCATCTCCAGAGAGCAAATGTTCAGAAAAGGGGGGCATAAAATATGCAAGTGGTCTCTGGAGTGATGAAAGATAGAGGTGAAGAAAAGGAGCCAGCAGCTGGCAGAATGCACACCATGAAGGGCCGTGGAGTTCTTATACAAATATCTACATGCTTACTCCGATGAGGGAAGCTATGGATGGCTAAAATATGACAGAGTTACAGTTTAAAACAATCCCTCCTAATTTGTACCAGACATGGCACTAGTTTCTAGAGACATAATAGTGAACTGGTTATAAAGCTTAAAATCTAGTGAGGGGATATGAAGAATTAAAATGGAACTACAAAGCAGTATAAAACATGCCAGAAGTGTTGAGAAGTATTTGGGGATTCACTCATTTGTTTTGTAAATATTTAATAATGCCAAAAGACAGATCATGAGAGATTAAAATAAGAGTGGGGATGGAGCTAATGCAACAGATAACTAAACAGAATTTCACAATTAAATATCTGTGACTGTGAATTAGTTGGAGCAGGAAATTTACCAGGAAACTCTGGTTCATAAGAAAGGTGATCCTCTTATCACCTTAACATCTTAAGTAATGTTGATTTTTATGGAGGTTTATAAATTTATAGTAAAATGACCTAACAATATGAGCTATAAAATTTACATTTTGTTCTCAAAAACTTAAACATATATATAAATAGACAGAATAATAATGGATTTTCATGTACCCGTTAGCCAACTTCAATAATTATCAGCTCAGAGACAATTCTATTTCATCTTTACTTCCATCTATACTTCTGTCTTCTGTATTATTTGAAGCAAATCCCAGAAATCATGTAATTTCACCCCTCAATATTTCTGTGTGCATCTTTAAAAGCAAACAGCTAGGTGCCAAAGCTATTTGGGAGACTGAGATCAGAATATTACAGTTTGAGGCCAGCCCCAGCAAACAGTTCATGAGAACCCATCTCCAAAATAAGCAGAGCAAAATGGAGGGGTGGCTCAGCAGTTAAGCACCCGCTCTGCAAGCACAAAGTCCTGAGTTCAAAGCCCATTCCCACCCCCCAAAAAAAAAAACACATACACACACAACTTTATTACACATATAAAGTAAGTACAATTTGCATTTTTAATTAGGGATGTTCTTTTGAAATGAGAGAAAGACTTCATGACACTATTAATATGAGAGACTATTGACCAATATTTTTACCATATGAAAAATTACCTAAGACCTGATAAAGCATCCAACCGAATTAAATATATGTTTCATCCTACCGTCATTTATGACATGGACATGTTTCTTGAAGACGGGAGACATCACAGTCTACAGAAAATGACAGGTGTACTTGTGGCCATGAGCTACAATTTGTTACTAACTGACTGTCACTAACTTATCAGAACTGTGCTGAGTCAGAGAACTTTTTTTTCCATATCTTTCTCAAAAAGAAAAAACAAAAAAATGTGGTTTCATGAAACTACAACAAAAACAAGCCACTGCATTAGAAAAAAAAAAAAGGAAAACAAAATCAAGGTTTAAAACAGACAATGGAAGCTCATTTCAGCTAAGTTATCGTTAAAATGCCAAAAATAATACTTAGCTTCATTTAAGAGTTATGCAATTTTAACAGGTAATAATACAAATTTGCCTACTGGAGGTTAAGCCCTGACACAGAGCCTTAGCTGTGGGAAGAACCTCCAGTTCACTCATTACTGTATACATGATGCACCAAACTTTCATTCCAAATGAAATTAAAAATTAACTCAGAAAAAGAAAATAGTAACTTTCTACTGACACTCTTCTGCTTACCTGTACTTAAATAAAAATTTAAGTAAAATTAATCTGTGTAAATTGGTTTCTAAAAAGTCCTTAATATAAATAATAAAGCATAATATGCAACATTTAAACATAGTTAAATGTGACACAGCCTGGGAAGCAGAATAGTGTCATTTTAATTATGTCATTTCTGAAGATCAATTAAGGCACCTATATAACCACTGAATTTCATCAGAATGTTCATTAAATCCAGCCAAATTCATGAGTCTCTTTTTATAAAGGGAATACAAATCAAGTGTGTTTGTGTAGAATTTCAAGAATATAGGCAATTTTGTAATTGTTAATTTATATAACTTAAATTTTTAGTCAAAATTATACATTTGGCTTTCTTGAGTAGTTATCATGGGTCCATTTATTTTTCTGGTCCTCTTTTCATCATGTACTTAATAATAGTGGTGTCTTCATGTTCATAACACACAGGCCAACACAGCAGAAACAGACTAACATTCACTGTTCATGATTAAAAGGGACCACAAGCTCTTTTCCTTAAGCAATAAAAGTAACTCAGAATAATAAAATAACAATGGGAAGATCCAGCATCCAAACTGAAAGAATTTGCTTTAGAGAAAGGTAAAAAATGGTGGTATTAGAATGTAGGCTTCATTGCCTTTGTTTTCCCATTACATGAAATTAATTCTGGGCCCATTAATCAATAAAGAAATACTTCCACACAGCATGTAAAAGGCACTATGCTAAGTACTTAGAGAGACACGAAAGGAAAAGCAACTCTCTGGACTGAAGGGGGAAGAGAAGGTCAATTACACGAGGGGAGGAAGGATAGAGTTTCTAGCCATTCCATTTTAGCCATAAACGAAACTAGTATTGCTTTGATTTTAATTTTATTTTTGACAGTCTGCAGTCTAATAGACTTTCAACCTAAAAATGCTATCACTTCTATTTTTAATGCACTCATAAGATACAGAAAAAATGTTTGAGCAATGAATATATAGGAGAGATGAGTGACCTTCCTGTGAAGAAAAACAAATGTTGTCTTTTTCAAAATCTACTCTCCCTCAAGCAGGAATGATACATAAAAAGACTAAAATTGAAAATAAGTTGTGTAGTAACAAAGCTGAATAATGTATAAATATATAACAAGTTGAATAATAATACACAATAATGCATAAGCTGAATAATACATAAGAAAAGGAAGATGAAGAAGAAAGCAAGATGGTAAGAAAAGAAAATTATTCTTTTCTACTTCCTTGTCCACTTACAGAATAATATTTTGTTTGTTGGAACAAACCTATTTTCTCCTTAGGTAGTTCCTCCTGAAAACTTCTGAGATCTAGATTTTGCAATGTGAAGCCAAGAGAAGCCAAACTGGATCACTGAGCACCTAATAATAAGTGTGAGGAACCACAGCTATACACAAGGTTCAAGGTGCTGGGTAAGACCAACTGGTCCCTGTTCTTGTCAGGCTTACGGTTCAACAGAGATTACACTTAAACACTAAAGACAAAGAGCTACTAAATAATTGCCATCATGATAATATTAAATTGTAGAACGGAATTTTTCTTAATGGCAGAAAACTCCAGAGGCTAATATTTTTTAAAGAAATGTTGCTAATTTTCAGTATCTATACTTGTGTTTAAATTTATAATTGGAAAATTAGCTATGCCTTCAGAAACTAATTTGTCAGTGAAATATATAATAAAAGATCAAGCAAGAAAAAGTTCAAGTAAACTCTGAAAAAAGTTGGTTCCTCTAGACTTTAGCCTATCCCCTTAAATATTTTGCAAAATCAAGTTACAACTTTTACCAGCTATTTTTTGGCACTGTGACATACGTACATTCTAAGCCCTGATTGGCATTCATTTCACAGCATCACTTCAAAGAGATAAAGGCTTGAACAAATAAGGAGTCAGAT